TAATAAAAGAAATGAAAAAGTACGTGAGAACACAAGAGAGAGGGGGGGAAAAAGGGCAGCGGGCCAGTTAACAGTGAGAATGTGTGTTTATATAAAGTATGTTCCATAAACTAAGCAGAGAGAGGTCCAAATCTGTGCCCAAGTTATCGGGAACACAATGCAAAGGGAAGACATTCAAGTGGCAACATCATTGGCCATTCCCATAAGATTAAGAACAAAGAGTGCCACAGACACAGCGTGGCTGTTCTTGGTCCTGAAGCCAGGCAGAAACCTTACCCACCTATCCCAGCAAAGAAAACTGTGATATCAGGAATTGCTATGATTAACAGAGTGACCAGTGCACTGGGCTGTGGTATTTGAGTGATTTAATGGCCAGATCCAACTTGAGGATTCAGAGTCTATCCAGGGGCTTCAGGAGCAGGTTAATGTGCCTACGGACACTGAATCTGCACCCAAATGTCAGACTATTTGCATCTTTTTTGGAAGGGGTTACGGTGAATTTGTTAGAGCCCACATCTTAAAAGAGGTCACAAATTGCCAATCTAAGGTAGAAGCCATCTGAATTCTGTTCCTCAAATTTGTACTGGGAATACCCTGGAAACTGGCCCTTGTCTCTGAGGACACTGATTCAAGAGGTGGGCATGAGAACCAGGAATTTTTCTCTCTCCAGTTAATTCTTGTGTAAAGGCAGATTTAGGAACAATGACCTCAGTAAATCTTGGTATCTGAGATTACAGTAGAAAGTACAAGTTCTACTAATATCAATAGTTGAGGAAGACCCTCAACAAGATGGACTGACATAGTGCCTACGACAAAGGGCTTGTGCAGGACAGAGATCAAGAGGGTGGCACAGGACAGGGCAAGGGCTGTTCATAGAGTCTATGAACTTAATGGCACCTAAAACCACAAACAATGGCAACATATGCATAATAGATTGAGAAATGTACGTGTGAATTGAAAATTCTCAAGGTGGCCCTCCTTAAGGAGTTGTGCTGGAAACCCAAAGATATACACTTTGAATCCACTAGCTGCCCTGTGGAAGAAAGTTCCTCTTGTTTGATTAACTGCCTCTGAAAACCTGCTGGAGGATAAGCTATGGGTCGGTTCCGACTCTACAGTATACAACAACCACAACAAACAACCTGGGCGACACGGTAATAATATTCAGGTTATATGTGTATCTCCTGACTTTCTGCCTGAAAACACAGGCTACATTGCACGTTAAGGGCAGAACCTGAGACCTTAACCAATAGCCATGCTTAGCACTAATACCAATTGGATCTCATGAGAACAATCGCTCAAAAAAGAAGGTCTCCTTATTCCTCTCCTGCTGATTTATTCTCCCATGAAGCTGTTAAGTAGACTCAGAAGGTTTTCAGGCTCGAGAAAACTAAACCAACTGCCAGAGTCTATTCTGATTCAGGTTGGCCATGTAGGACAGAGCAGAAGTGCCCTGTAGAGTTGCCAAAACAAGAAATCTTTATGGAAAGACACTTCATCTTTCTTCCCGAGTGGCTGGTCTGTTCGAACTACTGAGCTTTTGTTATGAGCCTAACATTTAATCCACTGAGCACTATGACATCTTTCAAGCTCTGTGGTTCAGTGGAAGCAAAGAGTCTGCTTCCAGAGAGCTACCCATGTGGAAAGGAAAATACTGGCCTCACTTACTCATCGCTGCCATTAGTCTTTGCCTCCTCCCCTCACGCTTACCCTCTGTTAGTTAAGTAGCGAGCAGCAGGGCTGTTTCTTGCGATGTTTCCAGCTGGAGAGATATGGTCCGTGGTTACGGAATCTCCCAAATTTAATAGCACGTAGGCATCTATGATGGACTTAGGGGGCTGAAGATCCAGAGTCTAGGGAAAAATGCAAGACGTCAGAGTTAGCCTTGGTTTTTTTCTCCAATGGCGGTGAGCCATGAACCTGACCAGACAGCAGTCCTGCAACACAAACACAGAACATTTTCAGGTTTTTATCAGAACTGCTTGGGAACATAAGGAGAATTTACTCCTATCTCACCCGTGAAGGGGAGGAACTGGCATTATGCCGTCAAATGCAACAGGGATGCAGCTGCAAATATCTCTCATCACAACAGCTGAACTTTCCAGAGACCGAAGACAACCAGGATCCAGGTGTACACTCCCGTGTCCTTCCACGATGACCACTGAGGAAGCATGGGTCCCCTGACCATTCTTTTTCTGGGGAGGCACTCTTTGTTTTGAGGGATCTAATATTTGAATACTATAATCCCTCAGACTTACTGAGTTTACACCTAGGTGGTACTGGATCACTACACGGAAACACTGGACAAAGGTATTTCAGCTCCGAAATCCCAGTTTTCTAAAATGTTCCCCTGCCTCCTACCCAGAATCATCTGCAAGTGCTTTCATTAAATGAGTAGACAAAGCAAGGGCATAGAGTAATAAAGTTTTTATAATGAAAGAAACTCTTTGGAGAATTAATTAAAAAAAAAAAACAAACACCAAAGTCATACCAGATTCTCAAAGAATGGTGGAGATTTAATATATGTAGATTTGGGATTCCAGGAATACAGCTTATCTGATGGGGCTGCTAAGGCATTCCAGCTTTCATTTACGGTCTTGAAAAAGAAAAAGGCAGAAAAACATCACATTCCATTCTAGGAAAATATGACATGCAAACATACAAAAACCCCTATGAGTTGAGAGTACAAGGGAAACTGTTTTTATTCTTGATGATCAGACACAAGAATTGCTTTATCTCAAAATAATGTCATGCAAATAACTTAAAAGTATGGTGGTAGGCAGTGGATGGCTCCATTGATCCTGCTTCCTGATATTCCTGCCCTCCGGTGCTCCCTCCTGTTCAGTGTGGATTAAACCTAGTGATTTACTTCTAAGATTAGGTTATAAAGAGACTCTTGGCTTCCGTGTAACCCACCCTCAATTGCTTGGTCTGACTGTCAACTGCCCCATGAAGGACTGAGACTCCTAGAGCCAGGGAGAAACTTAAGGCTGTCAGTCCAGCTGTCCTGCCAATATCTGAGCTTCCAGATATTTTCTGATAATATCCAGATAATATCTGAGCCCCGGCTGAGCCTTCATATGAGACTGCAGCCCTAGACACCTTGTCTGGAGTCTTGTGAAGACAAGGGCAACCAGGAAAGCCACACCCAGTCTCCTGACGCACAGATACTATGAGGTTAAAAAAAAAAATCAAGCTTTTTTTGGAGGGTTGTTACACATTAATAAATGACTAATATATGACACATTAATAAATGACTAATATATGTACATTTGTATATAACTTTGAGATTGTCTTAAGGGAGAAATTATGTAGTCTTTAGACATTTTGGGAAGTGGACTTTCAGGCCCTATGGACACTAAATAGCAAATGACAGCTGCTGTGCATTAAAATTCCCTTATATTCTCTCCCTAGGCCCATTAACCCCGCCTCTGGAGAAATACATTTAGCTCAATGCTACTAACTTCTTAGACCATCTCCCCTGGAGGGAGCAGGCTCAGGGAGGGAGCAGGTTCAGGGAGGGCACAGAGCTGTTTCACCTTCTGCCCAGACATCTCTGCTTTCTCATTTCAAATCATACACATGCCCTTTGTCAGCCCAACACAGAAAGCAGGGAGAGACAGCCAAGAGCCTTGGAAACTGACACCGAGGCCCATCTATTTTTCTTCCTATCAGATAAACGCACACAGTTTTTATTTTAGCAGTCTGGAACTTCCTCCTGAGTGGCTCTTTAGAGATTTAAAAAAAAAAGCAATATTCAAATTTAAAAACGGCAATGTCCAAATAGTGCATTCTGAGAGGTGAAGTCAGCCAACTGACTCAACCTCAGTGACACAGCACCCCCGAGGGTCTCAACCAATTATGAGAAAGGTGTAGAGTTACAGAGGGCCAGCCAATAATTACATGTAACTCAAGGCCTTTCTGTACGAGGCTGCCAAATCTGGGAAGATGTGGGGAGTATGAGATTTGTAAAAATATATGGTGCAGCAGAAAGAAGACTGAGAACCACTTCCCCAGTTCCCATCCCTATGTCTGCAGACATAACCCCACATATCTAAGAGAGGTACAAACAAAGCATGGCCCTGAGACTCTGCGTCATAGATATGCGGGGAGTGGTTGTGAGGGACCTCACCTCTATTTTCTGATACACCTCCTTAAACATGCCAGGGATGACATACTGTTGCTCCACGGCCTGGATCTCATCCCTGGTTGGCCAGATGTCTTTCAGAAATACTTCTTGTCCCTTTGCATTTACCCCTACGGGGGGAAAAAGACTTATTAATAAGAAAGATTTCAGCTAATATTCCACTGTTCCTAATACTCCAAAGCTTAATTTCCTGCAAGTAAACTTAAAGAGACATTGTTTCTCATTATTTAAATGTACCTTGAGTAGACTGAGGAGGGTACAGCAAGCAGGAATTTTAGAGAAAAGGCGTCACTCCCCCGCCTCCTCCCCCAGACCCAACCTTGAGAAATAAAACCCTCGGGGGTAGATTTCTACAGAGTATGTACTGAAGCAATACCTATTATTACTTTAAAGCAGTAGCTGGGAAGGGAAAAACCCTGGTGGAAAAGCTAGACCAGCAAGATCTGTATTACTTTCAGTATTTACTTCCTTTACCTTTCAGTATGTCTTTTGTCTATTTCATTTAGGTCTTGACTATGCCTTGAGGAATAAAGGCAAGATTCTACATCCCATCTTATTCTAGGAGGTGGGAGTTCTAGGATCTATTTTTTATTAAGAAAAACAGCAACTTTCTTCCAAGTAATATTTTTAAATTATCTGGGGAAAAAGTTTCACCATGCATGTCAAATCTTACCCAATGGCTCTTTCTCAAAGTCGATCCTGATGGTCCCAGCAATTGCATATGCTATGACTAAAGGTGGTGAGGCCAAGTAGTTGGCCCGAGTGTTGGGATGGACTCGGCCTTCAAAATTCCTGTTTCCTGACAGCACCCCAACAGCCACAAGATCTCCCTGCAGAAGGTAGGAGAAAAAACAGGTCACAAAGGAGTAACAATGCCAAAGCTTCTTGTCTTAAGCCATTTGCAAACGCTCACGTGGAGCTACTCAGGCTGCCTTTTCACCTGGCCCTCTTGCACTGCTGGGAGGAATGCACAGGGACATCCCCGTGAGGGACTCTGGGTCAAAAGAAGCCACAAGCCATGTTTAGTGGCTTCTTCTTATGAAAAAAATAGCAACTTACAAGCCAGCGGGAAGCATCCCTGGTCGTTGTTCCTGAAGGCCAAGGAACAAGTGGAGGCGGTGAAAGGTAAAAGGGAACCACATGACTTAGGTGGATTCGACAATGAAGGCAAAGTAAACTAAATTATATTCTCGAGGCTACAAATCTCATGAAATTCAAATCAAGCCAATGCAATGCAGGTCCATTTGTGGGGAGATATGTCTGACTTTAAATCAATTTTTAAGTCATCCGAAACAAACAATTCTGGACTTTTTTTTTTTTTCAAAACCAGCATTTACTGAAGATGTATTTGTGTGTCAGGCACTGTGCACAATGTTTCAACCTTTACGAGATAATATAGTCATTTCCATTTTATGGATTTGGAAAGCGAGGCATAAAAAGGCCAACTAATTTGCCTAAGGTTATAGAGCTAATACGTTTAGCTGAACTCCAGAACCTATCCTTGTAACCACATCCTGGGTTTTCCTGGACCTTCTTGACATTATCATCATTTCATCATTTGTCAAGTCACATTACATCAAAAACAAAACACAAACCCTCAACAGCCCTGAATACTCATAGCCTCCTCTATGCATACCTGTGTGATGGCTTCTACTACGGCTTCAGGTAAAGGCCCACTGTTGCCAATGCAGGTCATGCAGCCATAGCCCACCACATCAAACCTACAGGCCAAGAGAGAAGCACAAGAGAATCCACTCTCAGAAAGCTCAGCCACTGGCTGGAGATTCTACACACCTCTGATCTAAATGGAAAAGTGGTGCCTAAGTTTGTTGTTGCTATGTGCCATCGAGTCAGAACCAACTCCTGGCTGATGCTCCAGCAGGTTTCAGAGGCAGTATTACATGGGAGGAGACTGCCCCTCCTTCCTTTACGGAGCAGCTGGTGGACAGGAATTGTGTATCTCTTGAAGCTGGCAGGGTGACTCCCTACTATGAGGTCTCCAGAGCTTCCTATAAAGGCTTTATAGGTTCGACTTTAGTCCTTGGCCTACTGGGCACCTTGTCTGATAAACATCCAGCACAATTATACAGGAGGGCCCCGCTCAGTTGCCATATAGGGTTTCTACTTTTAAAATAAAACCCCACCAAAACCCAAAGCCCAAACATCCCGCCAAACTGGTTGCTATCAAGTAGGGACAGTCCTAAGTGTTGGGGAGTAGAACTGTTCTCTGAGATTTTGTTCAGGTTTTCTTCTGAGGAGCTCTTGGGTGGGCTCAAACTATCAACCTTTTGGTTAGTGGTAATGCATGTAGGAAAACTGGCAACAACAAAAGAAAGAAAAAAAAAGTGTTTCCCTCACCCAAGCTGAGACAGATAAGGCATGACTCCACTTTCTCGCAGATAGTAGGTTACCACACCACTTCCAGGGGACAGGCTGGTTTTGACGTAAGGCTTCACGTTCAGGCCTGCCTCCACAGCTTTCTTTGCTAACAATCCTGTGAAACAGCAAACACAGAGAGACTGTGGGCGGCTGTCTGGTCCAAATGCCAGCGACAGTCTCGGAAAGAGACAGACTTCTCAGTCTGCATTTCCTGCCACTGCCGAGAAAGTCCCTTCACCCTGGTGCTTTTCTGCGACTAACTTGGGCAATCTCCTCCTGTGTGACTGAAAGCCTTTGAAAAGCCCCAGGGGCTATGCCTTCACATCAACCTGCCTTTGCTTTCATGGGTGCATCATGGTTGTATTTCTCACAACACACCACAGAAGTTATACTGATTTATGTACCACTTCAATAGGAGACCAACTCTAACTTAATAAAATGAGCAGTGCATAGAACAACAGAAATAAAAATCTCACTGGCCCAAGTAATCTGTATGCATTTCTACTCAAAAGTAGAAAGATCAATTTAGGGCCATTCAGATTACAGCATGAGCTTTGGATTTTTGCAGGAAAGTAATTTTCCCAAATCATGTTTTATTTGGATAAAAATTATAGGCGGAAGGGTCCTTTCTGAGATTATATTTGTGCACACCTGGTCGATGAGGTGTAGAGTCATCCTACAAGTGAAAATATAGTTCAGAGATAATTCTTGAAGCAGAAAAACTAGAGCTTTTGGGCCATTAATTAGTCTTTTGAAAAACAGAAACCGGTAACTTGGATACTAGGTGATAAGCCTTCGGAGACGTTACTCACAGAAGTCTGGGAGGAACGGGGATAAAAAAGGGACAAAAATCTACAGACACGCTGGTGACTTGTCTCAACTGATTTTTTCCAAACAAATCAGGCTAAGGTAGCAACAGGTGAACTCATGGACTATGAAGATTTTCTGGCCATGTTTGTGTACGTCATACATAAAGAACTGCTGACACTGTCTGGCCTCTGGGCTCAAGAGAAACTTCTGGCAGTGACTGGAACACTGGAAACTAAGGAGACATTGTATTTGGGGAAACTCTGCAAATATTAACTACTTAACTAGAATTGCATAACAGGTCAGGTCCAGAGTTTTATTAGTCTGTGCTCTCTGACCTAATTCAGACACCACTTGTCAATGAAGACAGAAGTAAAAGGGGCCTTATCAGTGGTTTCTGTAGAGAACAAAATCTGTGACATGAAGACAGTTTTCTTTTCCTTCCAAAGTCTGACACAAGGTTCTCTCCTTTACCAGGAAATTGTCTGCCTTTTCTTTCCCTCTACCTATTTTCTCTGTTAATTCAACAGAGAAAGAATAGTATGAGTTATTGTATTTCACTTTAAATATGTTCATTGTGTAGATACGTCTCTGCATCTAGAGAAGTTAAGTTCAGGAAGTCCACACAGGAAACAGCTAAGCCCCTGGGCTATGTCTTGAGGTTTTGACCTCTATGTCCACACAGCACTGGGGATGGATGCAAACATACGCACCTGCTCCTAACATCACAGAGGGGTTGCTGGTGTTTGTGCAGCTTGTAATGGCGGCAATGACCACAGAACCATGAGCAAGTATGAATTCGCTGTTATTATACATAAACTTCTTTTGGTCATTATGATGGTCTGGAGGTATCTGAAATCCTTTAAACCCTTGCTATAGGAAGAAGGAAGAAGAGAAAGGGAGAAAATATATGTATATATGTTATATGGCTAAAAGTTTTCATTTTGGAAGAAAAAAACCTGACCACTAAAATTTTAAAGGCCATTTATAAATATAAATAGGCCAATATAAATATTTTGGCCAGTTAGTTCTGAGACGTTACAGAAAAACTAAAGTGATTTTCTTGATGGTTTTTTAAAATACCCACAGAAGTCTGCCACAGTGACGGAATTGTACTCTATCTTTGAAATCACGAACAATTTCTTCCTTCTCATCCCGAAAACCAGAAATGCTAGCACTACAAATTTGGCTCAAAGTGAGTCTTAAATAGAATGTGATGACCCTGCAGTATTGACTGTGGGTACTGATTCTATCACTGTGGAAATTTAGGGGGAGGTGCCGTTTGACCAGACTCAAGAGTCATGATTACTGGCGGCGGTCACCATTTTTTACCACAATAAAGAAGCTTTAAAAAAAAAAAAAGAGTCATAATTACTAACGTGAGCAGAGTGCAGGGGGACATTTGGTAGAATGCTGGTGGCTCCATGCGTAAAACCCACCCAACCCCTCACATCCACTCACTGGGGAAATGTTCATGAGGATCTATTGCAAGTAGTGTATTTGGCTACAAAAGTGATTCAAGTACAAAGTTCATCTTCAAACCTACTACAGTCCTCTAGGGCAAAAGACACATACATAACAAAGTCCTAACAATGGAAGCGACCGCAGATGAAATGTCAGCAAAGGTTTTCGAATTAAGTGTCACAAAGCCTCAAATGAGGGAAAGATGCCTTTCTGCATGAGCTCTGAGGCCACACTGCAGAGGCGATGGCATCGGAATTGAGTCCTACAGGGCCGACTGAGGACACACAAGGAGGGCCAAGAGCCATCCAGGCAGCGAGTGGGCGTGGCCCAGACCAAGGACCAAAGGCCAGAACAGCGTGTGTTGGGGGGGGAGAGTTGGGAGTCCAGTGAATGAGGTGGCCAGTGGCAGTGAAAGGTGGTTAAAAGAGTGGGCTGAGAGGTTTACAGAGGACTGTGTGCATTAAGGAAGCTGTTCTGTCCTTAGCTAATGGGGAGTCATTACAGGGAATGCAAAAAATCACATCTTGAAGATGCACCAGTTAAGTGGCATGAATGGAAGACTGGACATATGGAAACCAGGAATAAGGAAGAGTTGAGAGGGATTTCTCGGGTCCCTACCTTGGCTCCGAGGCAGCTCTCAAAGTCCTTTTTCATGTCCGACACGGCGACTTTGTCCTGGGGCCTTTTGGGCCCACTGCAGCAAGGTACTACTGTTTTCAAATCCAATTCAACAACCTGTTTGCACAAAAGGAAACAAACTGTAGCGTTCACAAGACATGCACTAAGAAGGAACACAGGTTATAGCAGAACTTGTAATATGACAATAAACACAAATAAGACAACAGTGTTTTGTTGTTTCTTAACCCAACGTGACTGATTTCTCAAGGCAGGAGGAGCACCGGAGTTGCACAGGAGACAGGAAGCCAGCCACCTCTGGATTGACCAAGGTAGATGCAAGAGTCCACTGTCCTCCACTCATTCTGTTTGTATAGCAGTTCATACACTCATTTTATTCAGTGAGTCATTTTCTATTGAAATGATACATAAACCATTATATATTCCTATGGTGCTTTGTGAGAGATGCATTAAGCCATCAATGCCAGGAATGAGACGGGCTGACACAGTAACTGGGGTAATGGGGGTAGGTGTGTCGGAGACAGTTGAGACGGGCTCAGGACAGGGCAGGCTTCAGAGCTACTGTACACAGGGTTGCTCTGAGTTGCTCGATGGCACATAACAATGTAATACAAAACAAAACAAGGACCTTCCCCCCTCCCCCCTTAATAATAGTTTTATGAAAAACAAATTCCCACAGTAAATTCATATACACTCCGTCTCTGGGAGCCAAGCAACCAAGGATAACACTGCTAAAACAAGGACCTTAAACCTAGTTAACTCTACAGCTTTGGCATTTAAAAATATGGATTCAGTTTGTACCCAAAGGAAGAACCTCTCTCATCACAGTGTAACAGATCTAATGGGCATGTTCACATTCTTATCTTTTAAATAGCTCTTCTTCTTGTGTACATTCTAGACAGAACCCACCTATACATTGGGAGCACGATCCCTTACCCTTATGCCACCAGAACTCCAGATGCACTAACAAAGTCCTTCAATTGCCTTGCACTTAAGAGGACAGAATCAGTTGTTCAAAAAAGGGGAAGCACTCAGTTTAGCACTCAGACTATTAGCGATGAAAGAAGTAGCTTCTGTCATGCTAATCCTTTGCTTAGGCTGTGACTTTTCAGCGTTTTAACACCTCCTTCTCCTGTCTAGTGTCTTGCCCCTGGTATCAGTCATGATGTACCATCTTCCTTACAAATGTATCCTTAATGAGATGGACTGCTGTGTTGCCTTCAACAATGGGCGCAAGTACAGAACCAATTGTGAGGCTGGTGTGGGACCAGGCGCCTAACAGTAACAGCCGCAACAAACTCCGCTAGAGAAAACACACAGGACTGAAATCACGCCCTGAGGAAGATGAAACGTGATGGTGGCATGGTGGCGGGCTCCTACCTGGGCGAAGTCCGGGTCTTGAGAGGTGTCGCTGAAGTCTCGGAACATGCCTACAGCCTGAAGGTACTTTTTGATAAGCTTGATTTTTGTTTCATCTCGACCTAAACAGGTATTTTGAAGAGGAGATGACGTTAGCATTCCCTGGTGAGAGACTATAAACTAATGCTCCACTAGTAAATGTACAAGTAATATTAGTTCACTTACACACACACCCCTCAATAGCTTTACTGATATTTCAGCTTTTAGGCCAATGATTTGACCCTCTACTTGGAACTTCAAACTGAGAGCTATTAACTGCTATCTTGTCTAAGAAAAATGGGGAAGGCTCTTACTTAGGAGAATCTCAAGTCTTAACACATATTTTGGTATCTACCTTCATTTGCCTCTAGAATTACTATTTCAAGATGCTACTGATAAAATGATAACCCACCCTGCCCCAAACCACCAGGAACAGAACACTTGCTAAGGGCTGTCACTGCATGCCAAACATTTTAAATGCATTCTTTTAACTACCTAATCCTTCTAGTATTTATGAGACAAGTAGTGGTATCCTAACATACAGATGAGGAAATGCGATGAACCTTCCATGGAACAGATAACTAACAGCAGAATCAGAATTTGTACCTGAGTTTGATTGTAAAGTCCAAAGTCTCAACTCACAGTGTTACAGCAGCAAGAACTGACCCCTGTGCCCTATGTGCTGAATTCTTTTCAAGACCCTGGTTGGAGGGAACAGTTTTTATGATATATGCCTGGTGGACAGGGAGTCCCCATTTTTCTGACAGTTTAGTGAGAATGAGAGTGCGGTTTTGGGCCCACAATAAACCAGCGTCTGAGTTTATGTGAACAGAACTGTAACACTTTCAGCAAGGGCATCACAAGAGACAACCGTACAGCATTGAAAAAGAAAGAACTTATGCAATATTATTCAAAATGGGTGAGCCTGGAGGACATTACGCTGAGTGAAGTATCTCAGTAACAAAAGGGCAAATCCTGCATGGTGCCACTGTTGTAAAATAGGACTGACCTCGGGGTTGGGGGGAGACGACTGAGAAAGATGGGTTTAATAAATGTATACTGCATTGAAACAGATGAGGGAGAGAACTGTTTAAAAGGGATATGTGATTAGGTGTTTTTGTCATGACAGGAGTCTAGAACGAAGGCTGCATGGTGGAGTGGACCTGAGGGGAGGGGTTGTAAGACAATGAAAGAATTTTTCTTTTACTTTTCCAAGAGGGTAGTGTACTAGGGGGGAGGGTTGGGAGGGGGAAAAAGTGCAACAATGAATGAATGGAAACCCAAAGCCTCTGTAAATTTTTACTGAAATTAATAAATTTAAACAAAACAAACAAACAAAAAAAGAGACAACTGTACAAGCTTCAGGAACATACTTATGATGCGTAACTAAGCCCAATCTTCACTACATTCCAAATCATTCTTAGCATGAAAACGCACAGGAGAAAAATGTTTGCTGCAAATGAATGTTGTCATATGCTGTCAAATCATCTAGGACTCATCTCAAGCCAATGAACAGCTCTGAACCCTGTCTCCTCCTGAGCCAATCTCACAGTCTGTGACACACCTGCCCCCACTGCCACCGTCACTGTGTCAATCCAGGGCCTTCCTCTCCTGAGCTGTCCCTCCATCCTTCCAAGCATGATGTCCTTCTCTAGGACTGGTTCCTCCTGGCAACGTGCCTACAGTATGTGAGACTGAGCTTCAAAATCCTTGCCTCCAAGGAACAACCTGGTTTCACCTTCTCCGATACAGACCTGTTTGTTCCCTTGAAGTTCAAGGTATGCTTAACACTCTTCTCCAGCATGCCCAGATCACCAGCTTTAGAATCACATTTACTGGTCATCATCCGTAGATTCTGGCCACTATAAAAAGTAGTTACTTCTGGACTTGTGGTTTTCCACTACCACCCCTCACCTCGTCTCCTTCCCATCATTCTTTTCTGCTTCTTTTTTTAGGTTGAATTATTCAACTATTTATTATTACTGTTTTCTATTTGTGTATCTTTTCACTTAAAATCCTCTAGGAAACAAAGGGAGCTCTGGTGGCCTAGTGGCAAGAAGCTGCACTGCAATCCCAGAGGTATGAGGTTCAAATCTACCAGATGCTCTGCTGGAGGAGGGACAATCTCCTCCTCTACCAGTCAGATCCAATTTGATGGTACACACACACACACACACACACACACACACACACACAAAATAATAAAATAAAAGAAAAAAAATCCTCTAGGAAACAAAAACATAACTCATTAATTTCAAAGTTATATTCTGTAACAGCTTCTTTTACAACACTCTTCTGTGATCATCATTTTTGTCATTATTTCCAGAGGTTTTTCTTTCAGCTATGGGAGAGGCCTTGCACGTCTTCATCTGAAACGTGTAGAGTCTAATGAAACACTGTCAGAATATGAGCCCTGGTCCTATTGTAGGGATCCTTCAGTAGGAAACCCTAGACAGAGATAAGAAGGCCCACAGTAGTATTTCTCCTTAAACTACGGTGACAATCTCCAAAAGTCATTTTGAAAATAAAAGTCCCCTCCATATCTGTGATGGTGCAAGGTAGGGCAAGGTGCCCGTAGAAGTTGTAGCTGACTTGACAGCACATGACAGTAACAACCATCCTATCGATTACAAAGAATGAGGCAACATAGCTGAAAAATAATTTCACATTTGCTCAAAGTAATCCATTGTTGTTGTTGTATGTGCTGTCTAGTCGCTTAGGAATTATAGTGATGGCATGTACAACAGCTCTGAACCCTACTTTCTATCTTGAGCCAAGCTCATTGCCTCTGACACACCTACCTCCATTACCCCAGTCACTGAGTCATTTCATCTTATCCAGAGTCTTTCTCTCTTGTGTTGTCCCTCCACCCTCCCAAGCATGATGTCTCTCTCTAAGGACTCCTCTCCAAAGATTGGTTCCACCTTGAAACATGCCCAAATGGAGCTTCATATCAGACAGAGCTTCAAAATCCTTGCCTCTAGGAAGCAGCCTGGTTTCACTCCAGGGCAAACCCGTTTGTTCTCTTAGCAGTCCAGGGTATAGTCAATACTCTTCTCCGGCATCACAACTCAAAGGTATCAATTCTTCTTCTATCATCCTTAGTCATTGGCTAGCTCTCTGATACATAGCAAGTAATTGCGAATACCATGGCCTGGATCAGGCACACCTTAGTCTCTAGACTGAAATCATTGCTCTTCAGGACTCTGTGCATCTCTAAACTACCTACCTTAGGTCATGGCCTGGCCCCAATGTAGCTGCCTCACCTCACTTCTTTTTACTTATCCTCACTTACTTCCCCCTTCTTTTAGGGTTCCAGCTACACCCAGCTTATCTTTAACCTTTACCAAGTTCTAGGTGCCAGAGACAACAGCCATGATCCTGTAGTCTGTTTTAAAGTAATTATCGACACCTGACTTTTTTTAAGAGAAGCACAAAACTCACTGGTGGTATTCTTTATTTTGTGAGTAGGTCTGTTATTTAGAAAAAAAAATGTGGCTTCTGGTGCAAATTTAGGATCTGGGTTTATATCTTAGGCCAATAGTCTCAGTGAAGAACGGAAGTCCACCAGTCAGTCTTAACTGACTCAAGAAATCTGCTGTGATTTTTTTTTTCCAAAATAAATTTGAGGTTCTGTTCCACATTTTTCTTACATTCTATCAGGGTCCATCTTCATTGGTCCTATGACAACAGTTTGTCCCTAATTAGTACAAAAAACCAGTGTAAATATCCTGGTTTCTAGAGTACTTTCTGGATCTTTCTGTTGGCCATGTTGTCCTGCTGCAGATTTCTTTAAATCTCAGGAACTGTCCTACCACCACAGAAAGCAGATGTGTCAGTGTAACCCAGAGTACATACCTGGAGGAGCAGAGGCAGAAGGCAGTGCTACAACTCCAGGAATTCTATGAACCTTTTCTAAAGGACCTGTGTTTACCATCCTGTGCTCACCTGTCTGCGTCAGGTACTTGATACTGACTTCATCAACTGGGAAAAAGGCAGCAGTTGCTCCGTACTCTGGACACATGTTGGCGATTGTAGCTCGGTCAGCAATGGACAACTGTGAGACCCCTGGTCCAAAGAACTCGACGAATTTTCCCACTACCCCGACCTGACGGAGATGCTAAGGGGAGAAAGAGCAGAAAAGTCTGAGACGCTTGACTGCCAATGTTCACACTGTAGAGCCTTACAGCTCTTACAAGGTAACTCTGACTAAACACATACAAGAAATCAGTCAATGTTCTTTTAGTACTTTTAAGAATAAAGCTTAGAAAAGAATACCAAAAACATGCAATGTGGAATCCTGGATGGGATCTCAGAAAGCAAAGGAATGTCACTGAAAAATAAACCCCCAAACTGGTGAAGATCTTAGTTTATTTAACAGTATTATATGAATATTAATTTGTTAGTGTGGACAATATATTATAAGATGCTAATATTAGAGGATTGGAAGCAGGAGCAGCATTCACTTCTTATACTACATGCTTCTGGAAACTCTATGAACTTTGATAAATGTCAATAGTTATAGAAAGGTTTCAGGCCTTTTGTTCATAAGGTCGCTATGAGTTGTGCTCGACTCTAAGGCAATCAACAACAACAATACTAGAGGAAAGAAAAACAGACATTCTTTGTGATATTAGTTATATTCATACTTCTGTAAATCTTAATGAGCAAAAAGGCCAGAGTCTATCACAGCTTTTCCACACAAGCCATCAGTCAGGACTAGGGCTGGAATGACTGACCTGGCCTGACCTGAAGCTAGGCTAATGAACAGTGGACAACATGGACAGACTCATTTGCTTAATTTTCCTGCTAAATTCTGTGAGTCTTATATTATTCTCCTCTAATATGCTGGGCAAAGACATTTACGACAAGCCATAGTATTAAATGGGGGCTCTGGAGGCCTACTCCTTAGGGAGTGTGCTGTCAATTCAAAGGTGGCTGGTTCAAAACCACCAGTTGATTCACAGGAGAAAGATGGGCAGTATCATCCTGTGTGATTTATAGCCTCTGAAAACCCAATGAAAGATCAGTTCTGATTTAGTTCTAATTTGATGGCAATGTGTTTGAGTTTTGCATTTTGAGTTGGTTTTTTTTTTAATTTATTTTTATTTTGTTTTATTATTTGTGTGTGTGCACCATCAAATCAGATCTGAGTTTTGTGGTTTTTTAACAGTATTATATAAATCTAATTCTGAATTCTGTTGTTACTGTTGTCCTGTTGAGTCAGAACCAACTCACAGCTGACCTGCCAGTGGGTTTAAAGAGGCTGAAAATATATCAGGAGCTATAAATCTTTTTCTTTTGGGACTGCTGGTGGGTCTGAACTGCTTCACTTCAAATTGGCAGTACAACTCCTTAACACTAGGCCACCAATGCCTCCTCCAGGAAGAAACGTTTTTGTTTTGTCCTTTTAACATTATACCACTTATCCAAAAGATCTCAATTCTCCAAGCTATATAACTAAATAAAAATTATATCTATAATAAGGTCGCTATGAGTCGCAGGTGACTCGATGGCACATAACAACAACAACAAACATTATTTTTCCAATGTTCCTTAAAAACACACGCGCGCGCGCGCACACACACACACACACTTTTTCCTATAAGATCTAAAGAAAAAAAATTAACATTTTCTAGCTTTGAGAAACATCTGCTAAAGTAATGTAATATTATAGTACAGAGGTGGGACTAAAAAAAGAAAAGCACACATAACTCATGGAAGTGATCCACTACTTACATATAAGGAAGAACTATGTCAAAAAAGGTAATTAAAATATGCACACATGCATGGGAAAGATTTTCAGAAACTTAGAAGAGAGATTATTTCTAGGAATAGAAAGGATGGCTTTCATAAATACTACATTTTATTTCATGACAGCAAAATGTCATGAAGAATAATTTTGGTTTTTGTATATTCGAATTCTTTCACAATTAAAATTAATACAATTAACTAAAACTAGAAAACTAAACCAGAATATACATTCTTTTTGGTTGTTCTTCTTTTTAAAAATACACGGTTTCCTAGCATTTCCAGAGCTCTTAGAAAGGAAGAGACTCCCTCATGCATTTCCTCTCTGCCACCCGGCTTTCCAAGACAGCAGAGGCAGCATGCTATTACCTTGGTAATGGTGAGCACGATGTCAGTGGATGTTACCAGGGGGTGGGGCTTGCCCATCAGCTTGTAGCCAATCACCTGGGGAAGCACCATGCTGATTGGCTGACCCAGCATGACAGCTTCAGCTTCGATACCGCCCACACCTGCAATGAATAGTAAGGCAGGAACAATGCTTTCATTATCCCTCAGTATATCCCTCAGGCATGAATTCAGCAACACCACAGGTAATGGGACCAGATAATATTTTAATTCAACATAAACAGAATTAAATGTCTACAATGGGGAGTTGTTTTTTATTTCCCCCACTACAGAATTTTTAACAAGTGTTTCTGAAAGTGTAATCTCCACACACTTGTGTCCATAACTGTTCAGAGTCATAGAACAACGGAGCACAGGGCTTAGGAAACACCCCCAAATGTCTCTAGTCTCTACTCTAGTTACTTTTCAAAACATAATTACACCCCCTCCTCAGTTATAAACATGTGTCGGTCCAAAGATCAAGCAGATGTTAGAGATGATGCCAAGTGCCACTAAGTCAAGTGCCAATCAAAGTGACCCTAAGCCCAACAGGTCTAAACTGCCCAACCCTGCACTATCCTTATGATCCCGGGTGGTTATGTGAAGAAAACCAGTGTCACAGGACATGAAGGAGGACCACATCAGATCTCAGGACATGAAGGAGGACCATATCAGATCTCAAAACGAAGGATAGCTACATCATTGCACAAGTGTCAAATGACATGGTTGTCAAGTCAAGCTCAGCTAGGATGACACATGACCTTATTAACACAACCAGGATTACTCCTGCCTTATACCTTGGTGTTTTGTTACTGCCAGATATAGGCCGTTAATGCATAAAATAGTTGGATGGTGGATTTTTAAAAACTATTATCATAAATGCAAAATGCTGATGAATGAGTGAGTTGCCAAGTATAGGTGTACTGAATTATTTATTACTAATTTATTTATTACTAATTATTCATGAGGCACTTTCTAGGTACTGGGATTATAGCCATGCACAAAACACAAAAATGCTTCTCTGATTCACACAGACATGCAAATTTATGCTAGTAGGGTGTAACGGCATCCAAGTGAGTAAGGTACAAGCTGTAGAGCAGTATATATGACATAGGAAGCTGGCAGAACACTCACCCCAACCGAGAATGCCCAAGCCATCAATCATGGTGGTGTGTGAGTCCGTGCCCACGAGGCTGTCTGGGTAATAATACCCATCCTGATCAAATGCCACTCTTGCCAAGTATTCCAAATTCACTTGGTGGATAATTCCAGAGCCAGGGGGAATGATTCGCATGTTGTGAAAAGCCTGGGAGCCCCACTAGGAATGAAAAATGGGGGAAATAAAACAACTATGACTATGAGACGCACTTCTCTTCAGCCCACTCTGTGGCACCACTCTGAAACACTCACATATATCACCAACTCTGTTCCTACCTTTAAGAATTCAAATCGTTCTCTATTTCTTTCAAATTCCAGGTCTTGATTCTTCTGCAGACTGTCTACCCTGTCAGAAAGAAAACGAAATGTATAAATGTTACTGATCATTGGCATTCATGATGACTACACTAACCAAAAGTTACCCTTCCAGGCACGATGGGTTTCACATGGATTTCACTGACGGAATGGGAAAACTCACCAGCATGAGAACGGAAATGTAACTGGAGAAAGCAAAAAGAAAATGATGTTTCAAGTGATTCCTACAATGCCTGATTTAAACATTAAAGCATGGGAGGCAGACAACATGAACTGAATTTAAATTAAAACTAAACCTTATTATAAAGTTTGACTCTTAGGAACAGATTCAAAACCTCTGGTGACATCAATGTAGGACTGAATCACTTTGACTCACAGTCGAAGCACTGCTGTCTGTCCCTGTATGATAGTACAGACCTGCACATCGGATTTCCAAAGCTATAAATCAGCCAGTAGCAGACCGATACTTTTACCTCAGTGTAGTGGGTGGGTTCAAACCACTGATCTTTTGGTCAGCAGCCCAACATTTAGCCCACACCACCACTGTGGTATCATGATAACAGCAGTATAGATATCAAAGTAAAACAAAATTTGTCTCAGAACAGTTTTCTCACTGGTGGCTTTGTTATAAAACATGTTTGAACTGAGCTGCCACTTTAATCTGTTTACGTTGAGACACACGGAACCAGTCATTCATAAAACCACAACTTCCGAGCTCTAGAGCCAGTGGTTTATGGAGAGGACAGTGCTGCCTAAGTATAAACCATGTATTATAGGCCATGGTTTACCCAAGACCATTCAGTCCATCAGCAATGGCACTGGCAATGAAAGTCATCCAGAAATTTCTCTAGGGTTTTTATAACTTTGTCTTATAACGTTATAATTTTATTGAGTCAAGACAGAACAGGTCACAAGCACAGCTCTGTGGGTCCATCACATGGAAAGAAGGTGCTTATAAATTGTACGTCATCAAAGACTGAATGAACAGACAGGGAAGGACCGTAAAATCACTAGCTAAGACCCAAGTCAGGCTGTTCTGTGCTAATTAACACATCGGTTCACATTTACTGACATCACCAGGAATTATTATTCCGTCATTTTGTCTCCACTATAACATGGATTAGGTACCACTAATAACTGAATTTTACAGAAGAGGAAATAAGACACCGTGAGGTTTAGCAATTTTCTCAGGGTCACACAGCTGGCAAGTGGTGGAAGTGGAAGTCCACGCAAACAGGCAGAGTCCAGAGTGGGTACTGTGAACCCTGGACCGTCGAGCTTTCCTGGAGCAGCGGTTACAGACCAATCAGTGATGGTAGTAATTACAATAGATACCACATCACATCACAGGCCTTCAGTGCTTCCATACATGAATCCATTAAGTGACAGAACTCCTCAAGCTGCTGCTGTTGTTAGGTACCTTCGAGTTAATTACGACTCATAGTGACCCTAGGAATAGCAGGCCTGCAGCTTGCCCTGTCCTGCGCCATCCAAATCCTCTCAGACACACTTGAGCCCATAGCTACAGCCACTGTGTCAATCCATCTGATTGAAGGTCTTCCTCTCCTTCGCTGACCCTTCACCTTTCTGAGCATGATGTCCCTCTCTAAGGAAAAGCCCTTCTTAACAACAAGCCCAAAGAATGAGATAATGTTGTGCTATCCTTGGCTCCAAGGAACACTCAGGCTTTACTTTCTCCAAGACATAGCTATTTGGTCTTTTTGCAATCCATGAAATATTGTTCTCCAACACCAAAAGTACTTCTGCCATTCTTATTCATCGTCCAGCTCTCACGTGCACAGCAAGTGACTGAAAGACTATGGTCTGAATCAGCTGCACCTTAGTCTTTGTACAGACATCATTATTACTCCTTGATATTTGGAGAGGTACTTGACAGCTGACTTACCCATTGCAACACATCTTTTGATTTCTTAACTGTTAGTGCCAAGAATGTTGGATGTGGATCCAAGAAAGATGAAATCTTGGATAATTTCAATTATCTTCTCCATAATTCCTCATGTAGGTACTGCTCAATTCCTATACAGAGTTCCCGTACTTGCCAAAGGATTTACAATGGCTAATTTTTGGAAGGAGATCACCAACTTTTCTTCCATTGCCACACTTACCAAGTGCACAAAATAGTGTTCACTAAGCTCTTTGCTATTCTAAGGCTTCTAGAATAGATATGGAAACACAGTATTAACTAGATTTAATAACAAAAAAATAACAAAATGATAATTTCTTCAGCAAATGGTGCTGGCAAAACTGGACTGCTACCTGCAGAAAGCTGAAGCAGGATTCACACCTCACACCACACACAAAAATCAACTTAAGGTGGACCAGAGACCTAGGGATAAATCCCAAAACTATACACATCATAAGATACAAAGTGGAACCAAGTTTTAAAGGTATAGTATAAAGTATAGTATAAAGAGGTGGACAAATGCAGCCAGAAATATACAACCAGAAGAGGATAAAATTGATGAATGAGACCTTCTAAAGAGTAAATCTCTGTGTGCATCAAAAACTTTTCCCAATAAAGTGAAAAGAAAACCTATTGATTAGGAAACAAAAAACATTTGGCAATACCATCTCAGACAAGGGTCTTAAAACAGAAGTTTACAGAATACTATAAGACTTCTATTAAAAAAAAAAAAGATTAATAACCCAATCACAAAATGGGCAAAAGACATGGAAAGACTTTTCACAGAGGAAGACATTCAGATAATCAACAAACACATCAAGAGATGCTCAAAATCACTAGCGATAAGAGAGATGCAAATAAAAAACCACAATGAGATACCTTCTCACCCCAGTAGCTGTAGCAAAATTTAGTAGGATGGCAAGTAATACACGTTGGAAAGGATTTGGAGAGATAGGAACTGTTTGTTGCATACTGTTGCTGGGATTCTAAAATGGTACAACCACTCTGAAAGGCAGTCTGGCATTTCCTCAGAAAGCTGAACACAGAGAAATTCCATATGATCCAGCTATTCCATTGCTAGGAATATACCCCAAGGAAATTAGAACTGAGACACAAACAGATGTTGGTACCAATGTTCATAGCAGCACTATTCACAATCACAAGAACGTGGAAATGGCCCAAATGTCCAACTATAATCAAATGGATGGAGAAATTGTGGTACATTCACTTGATGTAATACCACACAGGACTTAGGAGTAAAATTAATTACTAATTACTCAAGAGTAATTAGAAAATTACTATATAACTTGGGTGAGACTGGAGAGCATTATTCTGAATGAACTAACTCAGTCTCCTAAGGACAAATACTGCATAAGACCATTATTGTAAAAACAGAAGGATAACTAGTAAAATGCGTATGGTGTTCCAAGGGGGAAAAGGGTGGGAACAGAGGGGTGAGGATGAGTGGAGGAGAAATCAAATGGGTCACAATGTTTGGTGGGTGGAGAGAGTGGGAGTAAAGGAAATGGGAAAGATTTAGTAGGGACCTGAAAAGACGAGGTAATGGTGGGCGTAGTTCAATGGGGAGTAAGTTTGCAGTGTGTGGGAATGATTGTATGAAGCACAATTGGAATGGGGAAAAGGTGAAACACAATGTACATGAATCTTGTTTGCAAATCAACAGAAAAGATTTAAAAAAAAAAAGATGTAGACAATAAAGAGAAAGAAGGTGTCTATGAGCATTATTTCCACCAATAATGGTGAGATTCTAATTGTAGGTAGTCTCTGTACCTGATGCCCTCATTTTTCCTCTTTCCGTATTTTGAGCACTTCTTGCCTCTTAGACATCATATCCTGTCCTCCTATCCCCCAAACCAAAGATGTGCTCATAGCAGCTCCCAGCAGAGGCGGGACTAGGAGAACGTCCACCCCACGGAACGCTAGGAACATGAATTTGACATAAACAGCATATTCACAGGACAAGCAAACATCCGCAATGTTTAGGCTGTTTTACGGTACAGTAATGAGGCTGGAGATAGAATGATTGAATTTTGTAAAATCAATGACTTATTCATTGCAAATACATTTTATAAGAGACAC